ATCATTCTAATCATTGTCAATCAATATGCATTAATAGATAAAAATCTGTATAGCACTGTACGAAGATAACATGGATTTTGTCACGTATACCTGTATGTACTCAAGTGGATATCCAAATTGTCCATTTAGATTTGAAACGCGTCTCATAAAACTTTGTTTTCGTTATAAAATGATATTTCTGTGCTTTGATATCTGTAACTCGGTTAAAAATGAAATAACACCGCGATAAGTTCTATATTTTCCATGCTATCATCTTTAAACAAATATTCACCAACTTATCCAAACTGAACGTATCGTGAATTATGTCTTGTTTCAATTATAATACTCTGTTGGAATTTGTTTCGTTTTTTATTTATAATACACAATTCAATGAGTTAGATTAGATACAATTATTAAAATGCACAGCAACTTTATTTACTCGGGTTTCTGTTTCTATTTTATATTCTGTAAATATTGAAAAAAAAATTCCAGATTTCGAAATAATATTCTGGTATTTTAATTAATTGTATTCTTCAAACACCAGGTATTACACAATCTGTTAGAATTTGTTTTGTTTTTGTATTTATAATACACAATTTAATGAATTAGATTAGATACAATTATTAAAATACACAGCAACTTTATTTATTTGAGTTTCTATTGTAAACGATGCTTCAGTTTATTTAAATATTCTGAAAATATGGAAAAGAAAATTGATTATATTTTTCAAACACTAGGTATTAAACGTTTATAATTATGACGAAGCTGATAACGACACGTCGAAATATTTGTATTACAACTAGGCAGCCACGATACGTGTGATTAATCGATCCGCGCGTTCTGGAACCTATCGAGATTGTTCGAATCTTTCGAAGAAAGAGAATCAGTAAAATATCTAATCCGATTAGCACAGAAAGTAAAAGAAAGTACACAAACTGCAACAAATGACGCTTGTAACTTAAATGTTTGTTTAGAAGATATGTTACCTATGTAAATACTCTTATTTTATAATGTTAACTTATGAAATATAAATAGATTAATAAAAAGTACATTTCTTTTAAAAATGATATACCTTTAGGTTTGTTATTATATAGTAATTCACTAAATTTTTCCTTGAAATTTCGTTCTTCATATCCTTTTACGTGTTAACATAAAAAAATAACTCTATATCTTATTTTCCTTCATTATTAATTTAAATGAGTTATTTTTCATTTAAATTATTGTATTTTCGCTTACGTATGTTTTTCGTTGACTAATGTCATCAAGTTCATAATACTATCGTTAATGTTACTTAAAGCCACCATTCACGCATATGAATAATTTCAGTGTGAAAAATCATTGTTTTTAAAAACAAACGATAGAACTCTGCATAAACATTTCGTAAAAGCGTTCAACAAAACGATAAAGAGAAGCTGTCATTCCTCTGCTATAGAGATCAAAGTAATAATAATAACAGAACTATATCGAAATGTCAATCTTCAATAGCAAGAATTTCGTTGCGTCATAAGAGATATTTTCAGAAAATTTATTTAAATTTATGAATCGAACTATTAAGTTTGTATTACCATATGTTTACGAAATATCGAAATACAAAATTCTAACTTTAAATGCCAAATAAATGTTTCAACCTGTTCATTTAAACGTGTAAAAAAATACATTAATCTTTCCATTGAAGTAACACATTCTGTAAAAAGCACATATTAGTCAAATAACAACGAAGTATGTAAAAAAAGAAAGCAAAAGATCGATTAAAAGATATTTCATCGATGCTGTACGAAGAAAATTCTAGAAACCTCGTGTTGTTCAAAAAGAGCACGTCGTCTGATGCACAATCGGTCTGAAATTCGTAAACACACCTCGAAGAAAACATGAATATTAATTATCCATGTGTTCGAAGTTAATTATCAATCGTTGAAACGACGAAAAAAAAATACGTTGATGACATTTTCGTTCATAGGCCAGCACCTCCTCGCAAGTATAATATATAGACAACGATTCAACACATTCAAACCTGCCCCACATAAATAGCGGACGCTGTAAGTAACGCTTCAGTTGCATTTGAGACACCGAAAGCAAAGAATAGAGGTGCTTATTGTGTATCTTGTTTGAACACGCGACTACCTAAGTTTCAAGTACCAAAGAAGTGTTTTCTCGAATCTATCGTTCGATGATGTCGCTGCTACCGTTGCTGTTTTCTGCCTGGTGGGCGGACTTGGAGCATCCACACCGGCTTCTGGATCAAAATTTTGGACTGGGCCTGCTCCCCGAGCAATTGCTACTTCCCAGAAGTACAGAGAGAATGCTCGCACCGTATAACAGACCGGCGCTCGAATTATATTACCGACCATTGGCTGAACTGTTACGTACTCCTGAGAGTGGTACCTCTACTATTACTGCAGACAAGGACACGTTTAAGGTTATGCTAGACGTGCAACAGTTCAAACCCGAAGAGATCAATTTGAAACTTGTGGACAGATTTATTGTTGTGGAGGCGAAACACGAAGAGAAGAGGGACGAGCATGGTTTGATTTCGAGACAGTTCATCAGGAAGTATTTGTTGCCTGAACAAGTGGACGAAGAACAGCTAACGTCGAACATTTCGTCCGATGGTATTTTGACTATTACGGCACCAATAAAGGCAACGCAAGAAAAACCGAACGAGCGGATCATCAAGATCGAAAGGACCGGTAAACCTGCCATTCGCGCTGACACGACTGCTGAGAAGTCGAAAACAACTACCGACCAAACAACCACTGGCCAAGCAGCCACTGACCAAACAGCCACTGCTACAAACGAGCCAGAAAAAACGGAGGAACAACATGAAGAAGTTACACCGAATTCACAAGAAGAACAGAACCTGAAAAAATAAGATCGAAAATGTTCCTACATATTAAAGTACATAATTGTTAATTTTTATAATTTTTTAAAGATTTTATTTGTTACGACGTTTATCTCTGAATGATGCGTGTAAGGATATTGTAAAGTTGTGTTCCATTTTTCACTATGTTTAATAAAAAAAGTTAGCGTTAAAATAGTTTCAATTATAATTCTTTCCTGTCCTGTATTCTTTGAAATTGAACCTTCTGAATGCCGCTGAAAATGTTCATATTTGTTTGTAATTGAGTTTTTGAATTTTGTATCATTTATAATAGGAAGTCGAGTGTAATTGAAGTCTGTTGTAAAAAGTTCGTACAACCAATCGAATAAACCGATTAGTAAAAGTTGTATTTAAAATTTCATTTTAAGTGAAGAATATGTTGAATTAGAAACTGTAAATTATGTTGAGCAATAAATCATTTCATTCCTCTAATTGTAATAAAAGAAATGTCAACAAGACTCCTTCTGTAATCTATGCATGCAAAACGAATTAAAACATCCGTAGTTAAGGAATCTATATCGTAAAAATACAGATAACGCTTAAAGCGACTTCTTCAGTGTTTTTTCTAAATATAGCATTTCACTTGGAGTGAATAGACAGAGGGTCGCGGTCAGATGTCTAGACGCTCGCTAGACGCTCGCTAGACACTCTGGAGCAGTGATTCTCAATCTTCATCGGCTCAATGTTCCCTTTCTGTTTCAAAATACTCTTAATGCCTATCCCGGATATTTCTTTATTTATCAGTATTAATAATAAGTTTTTTTTTAAGAGAATTATGACTTTACATAGGTTACAATTATAAATGTTTAATATATAAAAAATTGTCGCGATATCCAGTGTCCTTTTGTGTTACAAACACATAGGATTTTGTCCTGAGTCAAATTCCATCATATTTTATCATTTGCACTACAACAGATAGTGGTCATTGCACTCCTTACCCTAATTAACCCTTTGAATTCGGAAGTTTTTCACTAGAAATATTTTAGCATTTTCTGATGAGGTAAACAGGATATTTTGAAACTAACTCGAAGAGAAATCACACGTGCATTGAAGAACAAAGCTATTTTATTTCAATATTTCTCAAATTGATACATTATACAGGGTATAATATTAAATATCAAATTTTATAGTTTTAGTGCATGAAATCAAGTGGTGACTGAGAGTCACCTCTCGAGTGCAAAGGGTTAATCGATATTCGTATAACAGAAAGGGACAGTTGTGAGCAAACTATTAATTTCTGACCCATGGCACCTTCGTAACAAGTAGAACACAATGCAGTTACACAAAATTTCAATTTTTCAAGGTCAAGACGAATTTTGCGAGCTTTTTTACATCCCCTTCAATCAAATGAACAGTGTAGAATCATGTTATGGTAGTGTAACAGATATTTTTGAAATACCCTGTACACATTGAAATAAATGAAATAAAAGATTCATTCCATCATTAAGTAAAATAAAAAAGAGAAATGAAACAAACAGTTACAATTTAACACGTTCGCTACTGGCGTCACATATTTGTCATCCTATATTTTACGTAATGAAAATGAAATTAATCCTATAAATATTGTTCCATTTTTTTTAAATTTAATTTAGAAGATTTATTCGATTAAAGAAAATATTATAATTGAGAAGATCGTTACCGAAATAAGCACTGATAACGGGTTAAGCTCCACAACCTTTAATGTTCCTTTTAACACTTTGAAGTTAGGTTTAAAATTGTCCCACTTTTTTGGCAGTCAATGCATGGTGGGATATTCTTTCATCCACCAAACTTAACCCCTTGCTTTGCGATTTAATTTCACAAGAACATTTGTTAGAAGTATTTATCGTTAATAATGCATTAGTAAAAAAAAACATTCCATGCTCTTTCTATATCTAGATTTAGCATAAACCATACAAATTGCTAACAAGAATAACAATGTTTCATTTACAACTTAACACAACTCAATGACATTTCTGTTTGTTAAACCATGTCAGAGATCTTCATCTTGAGTCTGACACGATATTGTAAGGCAAGGTGTCAATTAAAATGACTCTTATACTATTATCATGCAGGTCGAGTTTTTTTGCTTCATTAAAATTGTGTGTCCCTAAGGGTTAACACCTCAAACGCTTCCGGAGGTGTTGAGAATCACTGTTTCAGAAACAGCGAACCTCGGGGAACCTGTTTTCACTATAAAGTAACGGATCTTGTATAAGTGGACATTCACAGTCAAATGTTTCTCAGTAGGTATAGGTATATAAATCATGTTTACGTTATATTGCGCAGGTCTGGTACATACATACACAACAGATCTCTATTCAGAAGCGCCGGCTTGTTTTCAAGAGCAGTTCTCGTGGTTTCTAGGCTCTTCTCAGCTGGCGTGACGTTTAGTCCCCCCACTATCTTACCTAATGCGCAACGATACGCGTATAAAGAGAACTGCGTGTTGTCGATAGATGATTCACGTGCGAGCGACATAACGGTTCGGCTGCACGATCAGCTGAAAATACATCGACGATTCATACGTGTTACGTAATAGTAACAAGAACAGATAGACTATTATCTAGTATAGTGGTTGGAGCATATAAACAGTATTATTCTAGAAGTGCGATAAACGTTCCACGTACGCTAGTGACAAGTGAGATTCTACCGCAGTGAGATGTCGCTGATACCAATATTATTTTCCGATTGGTGGGAAGATTTGGATCGGCCCCATCGACTTTGGAACCAATATTTTGGCACAGGCATAGATCCGGACGATATCTTATTGGACGGGGAGCTTTCAGAGACGTTATTATATCGGCCTACGCCCCGACGCAATAACAGACGTTATCATCCATTTTGGCGGGCTTCTGCCAGAAAAGGACACGGCGCGTCCACCGTGAAACCGGACAAAAACAAGTTTGAAGTAACGTTAGATGTATCACAGTTCGTAGCGAACGAAGTTAACGTTAAAGTAGTGGACCAGAATGTTATCGTTGAAGCGAAGCACGATGAGAAAGAGGACGAACATGGCTGGGTATCGAGGCGGTTTGTCAGAAAGTACATTGTACCATCGCAATGCGACATTGACCGGGTAGAATCGCGTTTGTCGAATGACGGGATCCTGAGTATCACGGTACCCAGGAAAGAGCCATTGAAGCCCGAATCGAGCGAGAAAATTATAAAGATACAATATACTGGAAAACCCGCGCTGACAAATTGCGAAGAGCAAGTCAATGGCACACCAGAGTCGCAAAAGGAACAGACACAACGAGGACAACGAGAACAAACACACCAGCGGGGAAAGAAAAGGGGTTAAGAACGCATCAATTTCTCTGTCATGATCATCTGTGTTTATTTCATTTTTTATTGCATACTCCATTTTTTATAAACATGGTTAGCATAGTTTATAATACTAATGTAACACTTAAATCAGACTGATATAAAATGTGTATAAATGGCATTAAATAAATTTTGCACTATTTTTGTTGGAATAAATGCGTTTCTCTTTTTTAATTAAATAATGTATTGACCTTTTCTTTTCACATCCTTTCCTACAGTCGAGTTCGTAGTTATTAACACGTAATTTAATTAAAATGTTTTAGGAGCATTACAACAATTAATATGATATAGACTTATATATACTTCAGAAAGATGTATGAGGTGTAGAATTATGTTTTTATAATAATTCTGTTTAAAAAATGGCATATTGAATATAGAAGAAAGTAACGCTTATAATGGAAGAATTTGAATGTCGATTATCGATATAGTATATCAATATATAAATTATATTTTTGCAAAACTTTATTTTATTATGCAAATTGACGTACCTTAACCTCCTCTTTATTTGAATTGTCACTTTTGGCATTGTTGTGACCATTTTAACTTATGTTAACAAAGTATATTAATACATTATGATTCAAATACCTACACTGTTTCTAAAGAATGACTCAATATCAAATAATATTTTACTATTTATGAATAGTTTCTTTTCGTACGTCACCGTTCAACGTTTAGTTAATATATCAATTATCAGTGTTTATATACGTTTTTTATCTGTTATATATAATTTATAATAAAATATATAGAAATTTACTTTTCAGCAATAGCCTATTGACTCATATTTCGTAGTTTATTTTTCCTGAATACAGCATTCATAATTGACGATATTTTATATTTTATATTTTAAATTATTATTGTTTAATATAGATTAAACTGAAAATAAAGATATTTCGAATCTTCGAGAGTGCATTAACCCGTATAATAAACATAGATATAGTATATTGGCTGTGAGCCAACATGTGCAAGGTAGAAGCTTAGAAGCACCCAGAAAGGTCGATTTTACGCTGTACAAAAATAGAACGTACGACGAGAACATTATAGATAGAGTCTCAGAAAAATTCATTACCTAAAAGTGTTTTGTAAAATTGGCTGATCTTATATTGTTATTCTTCGTTTTCTATGTAACGATTTTATTTCATCTGCAGAAGTTACGCTTCTCGAAATAGATAATCAATACTGTGTTACTCCGTCGTAGAAGATTCGCCAAGAAGAAAGTGAAACTCAGTAATAGTCAGTTGTACGTTTAGCGAATTTAATTGAACATTTGAGTGTTCGGAAAAGTAATCATTTGAATTGAGGAATGAAATATTTAATATAACGATTATTACTAAAAACTGTTTGTTTCAGTTCAGTATAGTTATATTTGTTGATGAATTAATATTCATTATATATTATGATTTTTCGTGTTTTGATAAATAAAGACGAAGATAGAATTTTGTTATTACATGTATTGTACAAATAGCTGATTAATAACATACTATTCATAGGAATCGAATCTGTAAAATGTAAATGTTTCAAAATTCGCAAGCTTTCATGATGAGGCAGTTAGCTATGATGGTATGTTGAAAAAATTTCTCCAATTATTATTTCTAACAAATGATAAAATAACAGTAAAAAACCTGAAGAAGAAGTTCAGATTCTCCTGTTTGACGCACATAAATGACAACAAATGACGTCAAGGTTAGCGTGTTCTGGCTTTCCTGACGACGAAAATAGAAGCCTGATGTACTCTCCTTTTTATATGAAAATCATACAAATATTTTAAGAATTCATATTGTCCAGTATCCTTTAATTAAATAAATATAGTCCAAATTTCAATTTCAGTATATGGTGTTAAATAGTTAAGTGTAACAAATAAAGTAATAGTGCATTATTTTACTTAATCGTAATTTTTTACTATTCCACCTTACGTAATTATACCTTTTGTTTTAAATGCATACGTTTACTACATAGCAACGTTTGTAAAGTGAGACGTTTTACAAACGTTTATCTTTATTTCTACATTGTGGCAATATTCTCGTTGGATACATATTTGCCGAACCTAACCTTGCTCGTATCTTACGATATCATCTTCAGAACCTTTATCCATTAAGCTATCAGTTTTTGTTAAATAATACAACACAACATAGGAAAACGTAAAATCCTCCAAACGTACGTGCACTCACTGGGTTATTTTTAGAAAAAATTTAATGCTGGCTAACCTTCTATAATTAACACTTTGAATAAGGATTTTGTTCCGTTTCACTTACGTAAAGATTCCAAAATAAAATTGTACTGTATGTATGTACGTATGTACATGGTTAGCTATAGAATACTGCAATTTTATATAAAAACAGTATGTACTAGGAAACATGAAAAATAGGTAAGACTCCTATTTTAATGAAATTTAACATTGACTAACGAATTAAAAATTTTACAGGAAACAATGCTCAAGAATATATACGTACACAATGAAATCTAATTAATTTTTATCGATAACATGGTTCTAAATGTATGTGCTTACCTTATAAAATGTACTTACGCCCATATGCTCCATATTTAAGTACATACATACATACATACACACATATGCAAAATGCCGGTGAATGACACGCTTTAAATGACAGTTTTCACATGCGCGTAGGTGTATCTCAATTTGTTATATGCATAGAAAGAAGATAAATATTAATGTAGTACATAAAAGAGTACTCTTTTAGTAGAAATAACGACATAAAAATCAAACGTGTGTCATTGTAAACAAAACTAACAATATTTGAAAAGATGTATTTATACGCCGTAGGTGCGCTGCGGTTGCGCAGTAACAAATTTCATTGAATCATCATGCTTTTACGATTTATATAGATAATCATTATTCATATCGTTATGTCAACATCATTCCAAAATGATATTTTTACCAACGTGCGTCCTTTGTGAGCAATAAAATATAGAACTTTCCTGAAAATCTACACCGGCTCAGAATGTTCTAGACCCATCTCCTGCCATCGGCTGCGTCGCTATAAATACGTGAGCTACGGAGCATAGCAACAGTTCATTGAAAGCAAGAGACGAGTGAGCATCGAAGCACCCGGCAAGTTAAAAGCAAATTATAAGATTTGCAAATATTACGTTTTTCTAACGTAACAGTTAATAAGTGATCAAGTCAAAATGTCTCTGGTACCGTTGTTGTTCTCTGACTGGTGGGAAGACTTGGATCGTCCGCACCGGCTATTAGACCAGCACTTTGGCCTGGGGTTGTACCCTGAACAATTGCTGAACACAAACATCCTGGACCAGTATATTCTGCCTAGTCGCAGGAGGATGACGAGAAGTCCTTTGATATACTACAGGCCATGGGGTGAACTCCTGCGTAAAGAAGGCGGAGGTACGTCTACTGTCAAGGCTGATAAGGACAAATTCCAAGTAGTCCTGGACGTCCAACAATTTAAGCCAGAAGAAATCAGTGTTAAAGTCGTCGACAAAGCTGTCGTTGTCGAGGGCAAACACGAGGAGAAACAAGACGAGCATGGATGGATTTCTCGTCAGTTCACCAGGAAATACATAATACCTGAACAATGTGATATTAACGAAGTAACATCAAGTTTATCATCTGATGGTGTACTGAGCATTACTGCGCCTAGAAAGGATCAACCGAAACCACAGTCGGAGAGAGCAATCACTATTGAACAGACTGGAAAGCCGGCATTGAAGGAAGGCCAAGAAAAGAAGGAGGAAGAGAAGACAGAAGAAAATTAATTTTTTGTTAAACATGGCTGTTACAATTTATTATAATCTGTATTTCTCTTTCATATAGTTTCATGTAATTTTATAATTACATACTTCGTATGTTCTTCAAAATGTGTTAACATGTAAAGTTCCTTTTTATAAATTATAGCTTTAAGAATTTCTTAAATAAACTGTTTAAAAAATAAAGATAATATTTCGAACTTCCCCACTACATCCCTTATTTTTGATCGTTTAAAAGTCAAATGGACATGGTCGTACTTTCCTTGTTCGATCCTTAAAAATTCCAGTTTACCGGTTCCATAAGATTCAATTGAGTTTATTTACTTTTTATTATTTCCTGTTTAGAAGTAGAAAAATAGCATAGTCGTGCCGTTTTTTGGTGAAATGGAAGAAGTACAATTGCGCTCTTCGGCAAATTTCAATTAAATTTTCCCTTGCGCCCGAGCATTCAAATGGTTAATTTACGTGCAGTCCTAAAGTTTCTTATATTTAAAAAAATTCTAAGATAATTGTACATTACAGAGTTTCGATTTTATGTAAAATATATCAGGTTAATTCGTAAAACGTGATCATCTAAATATATTTCGTTCTATATTTTAATATTATAAAGTTTCTTTTATATTACAGTTTTTTAAAGTATTATGCAGTATGGCGCAACAAGTACTAAAGAAAAGTAAGTAAAAACATATTAAAGAAAATTTATAAATTTAAAACAACAATTAGTAGTTAACTAATTAAATCATAGTTAAATCAATTTACTCAATGAGTAACAAGATATATATAAAATTTGGAGGTAAATCTATAGGTTATACAAATATTTAAATTTCATATATGATTATAGTCCGGTTTCAAAGAACATATCAAAGTATTTAATATTAATTTATTACAGATTTATTGCTATTTCGTTACATTCAGTTGTCTTTTGATACATTGAATTTATATATTTAATGTAAAATCAGAACTAATATTTTACCTCACTGACAATAAATATTATAATGTTT